GCAATTCTCCTGCCTCAGCCTCCTGAGTAGCTGGGATTACAGGCACGCGCCACCATGCCCAGCTCATTTTTTGTAGTTTTAGTAGAGACAGGGTTTCACCGTGTTGACCAGTATGGTCTTGATCTCTTGACCTCGTGATCCACCCGCCTCGGCCTCCCAAAGTGCTGGTATTACAGGCGTGAGCCACCGCACCCGGCCTAAGCATAAGGTTTTAAAACATATCTTAAAATCAATGTTGAAATAAGAGATTCAACAATTTTTTTCTGACATGGTATTTGAAGCCCCCATCATCTACACAGATTTGATCAGTGAATCTGATTTTCCTCTTTTTCTAACTTGGTCTCTTCTCTCCCAGACTCTTTCTGGTTCTACTTTAGACATATCAGGATCATTACTAATGCTGTGGTCTGAGTGTTCTCCCTCATGCTACCCTCCCTGTCCAGAAGTCTTCCTGCTCTTCACTCTAAAAGCATTCTCAAATTATTCAAGTTTATTTTTTTTCTCCAGTAGACAGTCAGCTCCTTGAGTGGGAACTATTTTTCATATTTCTCCAGCTTTCACTGCAGCTAGAAGTGCATAAGCAAGTGTTGGTTGTTTGATAGTAGACCTTCAAAGAACACTTGTTAATGGATCAATTTTATTTTATGCCCAGTCAATCAACTGTCAAAATCAGTGGAGGTTACACTGTGCATAGAGCCTTTAAAAGGCATACTTAGCACAGCCGGAAATTTCTGAGTGGCTTCTCAGAATTTTGCCGTGCTTTAAACTATGTTAATCTGTGTTCCAGGGAACATAGTGTACATAGGTATGGGGGCGGAGGTGGGGGAGGAGGCTGTGACATTTGGGAAAGGCCACATACCATATAACCTTTTGTAGAGATTCACAATATTTATTAATCTATAAAGGCTTTTAGAAATATCACAATAAAAAAGCATTTCTGTCTTACCCAATATTTTCCAAATTTAATTAAATACTGAATACTGTTTTTTATAAAACTAAAGCTCTAGTGTTCTTCTGAACACAGATTGAGAAATGCTATCCCCAAAAAAGAACTCTCAAAGCCTTTTGTATAATTATACATAAATTATCACTTAGGTAGGTTTTGTCAATATACTTTTTTATGCAGTCAATCCTTATTGATTGAGACCTTAATAATTTGGTAATTTTTAAAATGTAAATAGAATAAAGTAGGAACATGGAATTAAATACAATTTCATGTTTTCTGCCTTTTATCTTTCTTTAGTTAAAAATAATTGAATGTTTTTGTTAAATCATTACCAAATATAATTGCCAAGCATCAGTGTGGTACCTGTAAAAGCTAGCACAGTTAAAAGTAGAAAGATAACCTGAATCTTCCTGTGCTTCTGCCAGTTTAGAAGCTAAACATTCAAATTCCTATTTATTTAATATCTTTACCATCAGATTTCTTTAAGTAAATATTTTTATTGAAATACCCTTTCATAAGGTGCACAAATTATGTCTATATGTCAGTTACTTTTTATAATGTAAACATATTAATGTAACTCTACCCAGATGGAGATAGAGAAAGTTATTAACACCCTGGAAGCCTTCTTACGATTCCTTCCAGGCTTTATGCCCCCAGCCTCCTCCTCCCACCTTGAGAAACCACAGTTCTGATTTCTGAGTAGCTGAGATTACAGGCATGAGCCACCACGTCCAGCTAATTTTGTATTTTTATTAGAGACGGGGTTCCACCATGTTGGTCCAGCTGGTCTCGAACTCCTGACTTTAGGTGATCTGCTCGCCTTGGCCTCTCAAAGTGCTGGGATTATAGACATGAGCCACCACGCCCAGCCCAGAATGATTTCTTAAGATCTTATGTCAAGTGGGAAGAAAGCTAAATTCCACAATTGTGTGTATACTACTATGTGGGTAAAATAAAAGGAGCAGATAGAGATATGTATAGAGTATCTGTGGAAGGATGCCCAAGAAACTGGTAACCTAGGCTGCCTCCAGAAAAGGGAACTGGGTATCTGGGGGACAAGAGAAAGATTAAGAATGTATTTTCTTTCAAGTGAATATCCACTTAATTAAAAGTATACTTTAAATTTTTAAATTATATTGTAAAAATGATTTTGATTAGTAAATGAGAAGTGCAGGGTATAAAACTGTGTATATAATAGAAGCCAAATTTTGTAAAAGAAAATATGTATATAGGATGTTCAAAAAAAGGGCTGGGATGATATATACCAAGAGGACATTGATGATGAGATTATAGGTGATTTAGATAGTCTTTTTTTTTTATTTCCTGAACTGTGTTTACCTGATATTCTGCAATGACTGTGTATTTCTTTTATAAGGAAAAACAATAAGGTTTTTATTAGAACTTAAATTTGACTTTGTAATGTTCTTAACAATCCTAAATTTTATTTCCTGAGAATTTACTGAAGTTGGACCCAGCTGACAGATACTTGACAGAACAGTGTTTGAATCACCCTACATTTCAAACCCAGAGACTTCTGGATCGTTCTCCTTCAAGGTCAGCAAAAAGAAAACCTTACCATGTGGAAAGCAGCACATTGTCTAATAGGTAAATATTCCCTTTTAAGGAAATACAGATGCAGTGTTGGTCTTACAAGTAGGTGGAGGAGGTGGCTGCTTAAATGATGCAATTAGAGAAAAGAAGGAAAGCGCTCTTTATTCAAAAATATCTTCCTTATGCTTATTGCATGATTCAGAACCACAATTAAGGAGTTGTGTGGGTCTTAAAGACTTTCTTATCTTTAGTATATGATGGAAACCTATGCATTCCCTGGGAAAGGTAGCATTGGGTTAGCAACTAAGGGGGTTTACAGTCTCAAGAGCTAGAATATTCTGCGTGAATGAGACCCATCAGTGATACCTAGAGGAGGAAAGATGGATGAAGGCAAGGGGATTCCTGGAGAGAGAAGAGGATGCCAAACACAGATAGTGGATGGAAATGTATCTGGTGTAATCTTTGTGACTGGACCAAGTAGATCTGGCTCTACAGAGCGGTCTTGTGTTTTGATTGCTCTTGTCTTTTACTCATTGAGTTGAGAAAATAATTTTTCATAAGACTATATGGAAATAGTAAAGTCAGTGATTAAAATTGTTGCTCTTTAAATATGATTTTTCAGCATAATTTTTAAAAAGCTTGTTTCCTGAAAAACACACATATAGGATTTGGGCCATATGATCAGATTGTCTTTCAGACCTGACTTTTCTTGATTCTGTTGGTTGCATGTCCAAGAGGACAGTGTCCTAGTCATGGTCTCCCTGTCTTCCTTCATCTCCCAAGAGGCTGATTTTTTCATCTGGGGTCATTGGATTATGGGAGATAGGACATAGTTTCTCTCGTCTGCTATTACAAGATAAATAGAAAACAATGATTCTTTATTTTTATTTTTTAGTTTTTTGAGGCCTTTGCTCTGTCTTCTAGGCTGGAGTGCATTGGCATGATCATAAGTCACTGCAGCCTTGAACTCCCAGGCTCAAGCAATCCTCCCACCTCATCCTCCTGAGTAGCTGGGACTATAGGAGCATGCCATTATGCCTGGCTAATTTTTTACATTTTTTTGTAGAGATGGGGTTTCACTGTTGTCATCCAGGATGGTCTCAAACTCCTGGCCTCAAACAGTTCTCCTGCCTCAGTCTCCCCGTGTACTGGAGTTACAGGCATGAGCCAGAGCATCTGGCTGAAAACAGTCATTTCTAATATGAAGCTTTTTTAATATAAATTTTCTTCCCACTCCCAACCTCAAATTTTCCATCCATATAGAGCAATTGTTCTTTTTTGAGGCAGGGTCTTGCTCTGTTGCCCAGGCTGGAATGCAGCGGTGTAATCATGGCTCAT